ATAACTTATGGTGTCCAAATATTTAAAAATATTAGCATGTGAAGGAAAAAAAAATCATTTTTTTATCTTAGATAAAAAAAAATCATATTTTAGGGAAAAAAGTCATTTTTTTAATCTCAGCTTTTCTATCGTATTGCCATTAAATTTTATGATCGAAGCATTTCATGCATATAGGCATTATTTATAAGTAAAACATAGTGAACATAAGCATATCTCGCGATTTATAACATTGAGGAACAAACGCGTGAGTTTTTTTTAAACAGATTTTGTATTTTTTCTCTTCGCTGATTTCGTATCTGCAATCTGTTTCTCTCTCCAAGTTACACTTTTTTTCTCAAAAAACAATTTCAAACCATTTTTCTGTGAAATGTTTATGTTTAAAAACGTTATATATATGTAAAAAGGAGTCGCATAAATATTGCAGCAAACTCCTAGAGGAATTAGGTCACATCATCAGAATTTTTGTGGCTGTTGTTTCCAATGCCAATGCCAGCAAGTCTGCTTGGAAAATCAAGCAAATTTAAGTCAGAGGGTGCGTTTCTTATTTTGAGTGGTACAATAAGATTTCAATAAGATTTCAACCATAAGAAGATTTCAACAATAAGATTTCAGCCTCACACACACGTCACAACCCGTTTCACAGGGCGGGCCAATTCATACATTCATTCCTCCACAGATCGTAGTTTTGACATGAACCAAATGACCATCAATCTCCAATTCAGTACTCCCAGATATATTGTTTAGTTATGGGAACTTGGAGGAGTTTGTAACCCAGACAGATTTAACTGGCATCAGTCACCATTTAATACACTGGGTTTCTTTGAGTTTGCCGGATTCAAACTCTCGTTCTCACGAATACGATTCTAGCGTCCTACCAACCAGGCTGTCTCGGTCACAACATCACGATTAAATTTGCATAAGAACCCATGTCCAGAAATCTCATCATACGGGCAGGCTTCCATCGCATGAACTGTTTCTTTGTTTGCTTCTAAATAGGCCATAATTGAGAAGCGCCCCTGGCTCCGTACGGCGAAATTTCAGTGCATGGGTTCGTATGCAGTTTTAATCCAGATTATGTGCCTCAACTTCCCTACAAGTTCTTCACAACATTTACCATGATCCATCTACCATTGAGGATATTACACGTCAGCACTGTGGTCGGTGCAAACCGGGTGCGGGATTTGTATCGACCAGTCATTGCTGGGATTCGAACCCGGGTCACCTCATTGGAAGGCGAATGGTCTATCCCCTAAGCCATCGCGATTCTATTTACAATTATTCACATTTTAAGAAGTCCTTAAAAAAATTCTCAAAAATAGGAAACAAAATTAAGAATATAACATGTATTTTAGTAAACTACTCTTCACCCCTATCTGCAATATTTTCCAATGAATAAATCTAGTACACACTCTTTGGGTTCGTTAATGGTTTTCGTTTAGTTTGGTTTTGTAATTTTAAGCTAATAAAAAGATATAAAAAAAAACTTTAGCTTTTTCATCTTAATATTGAAATTACTTTTTGGAAATCTTTGAGGACCATACCAACACTACATGTTACAGATCTAACATGTTATCCGATAGAACCCTATAACCTACATTCTTAGAAATTTCTCGGAAAAAATGTTTATACAATAACACTTTATTTAATTGTTATTTTATTATAGCAAAACGGTCAAATAACCGTAAATAAGATGGTATTTAAACTGTTAACTGTGAGAAATATCGTATATTAACTGCTTTCACCTAATACGGTCAAACAACCAGAATTTTATCGCACTAACAAAGCGTACCGTATCAAACCACTTAGTTCCTTACAACTGCGTACATAGTATATCCATTATCCTACATAGGCTTGGGAATTCTGAGCCATGTTTGAAAACTGATAAAAATTCTCAATTTCAAAATTTTTCTTAAAATTTAATTTTATCTTTTTCCCAAAAAGATTAACATAAACGCGTCTTGCGTTTCAATGGGAAATTTAACTTTTTTTGAAATGGTGGTGCTTTATGTTTCAAATCCGGTACATTTTGAATAGCAATTTTTTTAATTTTTTCCCCTAAAGTTTAACATTATTCACTTTAAAATTGCTGTTTCATAAGTTAAAAATATCAAAAATTATAAGTTAAAAGTATCAAAAATTATTTATCAAAAATTACTGTTTTTTAAGTTATAGTCTTTTATGTCAACTATTCTATGCAGTCTAGACTATTTAAAGTCTAATATTTCAAAAAGAAAAATTAAAGTTGAATTTTAAAAAAATAATGTTGATTGAATTAAAAAATATTTGAATTTAATTTAAAATACTAAAAGTAAATCTTTTCAATGCATTTGGAGGAAATTTTGAATTTAAAACAAGAATTTTTTTCCTCATAGATTAAAGAAATAGTTTTTAAAATATAAAAATTCACGCATAAATAAGACAAAATTCCATTTAGTGAATATTTTCATGATTTTATTTACAGAAGTTTTTATATTATATATGTATATATTTACAACTAACCATACCAATATGACACATTGTAGATAAATTTGGAACTTTTTACATTTTATCACTACGATTTTCAGACAGTTTTTTATCTTTTACATATACAGAAAATTAAAATATTATAAATATGGTTATTTAAAAGCATTGTTTGATAAGAAGAAAAGGAATTTATTTTGCATTTCAAATACAATAAAGTAATGATATTCATAACAAAATAATTGTTGGAAAATAACAAACAAACACCATTCGAAAATTACAAACTTTTAATTATTACTTTGAAGATATAGTATTAGAAATACTAAATTTTCTTAATTTTATTATTACAAGCATACGTTACTGTTTTTGAAATATTAGCAATGCAGTATTACAATTCATGCATCCTATATAATTAAAAAAGTTTTATTATTTTGAAGTCATAAGTGCTTTAATTCATCTTTAGTTTGATTGTGGTTATAAAAAATTAAGTTTTTAACACCTAATTAACATAAACTAACACTCTTTGCTTGCTTTATAACAAGAAGTGATTCCTTATGCTAATTAGTATTAACTTTATATGTTGTTTATCTAAACAAAAAGTATTTTTATAAAGTAAACTTTTAACATCAACAATTGTTTTCAAAAACAAATGATTGAAACATTTTTGTTATTTTTTAAGTTTATCATATTAGCATTAAACAAATTATGGACTTCTAAAAACAAAACTGCTGAACATTTCATTAATTTTCAACAATTTGAACTTTTTCAGTTTTTTTATGAATTTACATAGTACTTGAAGAAAATTTAACACATCAAAACTAAAGAATATTATGATCATAAATGTTAAAACACAGCAAATTTAAGAATCTTGAAGAATATAATTAATTTTTTAAGTAAAATATATACAATTATGTTACTCAAGCTATAAAAACCAATTTAGTTTTATACCAGAACTTAAAAAAAGAAATACCACTTTCAGAACTTTAAAATTGGCTGTATCTCATTGTCCAAAGAAAAAAATGCCGAGTTATTCATAATCTTACAATGAATAATTCAAATAATAAATAGCAATTTAAACAAAATCATCTGACTTATTTTATAGTAATCAAAAGAAGTATCTTTTGTTTGTACTGGTCATAACATTGCTAAAAAGAAAGTAATTAACACAAATAAACAAGTTCGTTTCAATATCAAAATGTCACAAGTAGCATTATATCTCGTATTCCATAATACTGTGGGCAGAGAAAAAAAAATTCTGGTAAGATTATCGTACTGTACGGTAATAACATTTCTAATAAAATAACCATAATTCTAGGTATTAGAGCAAAAATACACAGTATTTAAACTGTTTATTTGGTAATTTTTTAATACATACGGCAACAGTTTGCCGGAAATTCAGGTTTTCAAAATTGTTGTTTTTATTACAACACATTTAGTAAAAAATACCAAACTGAAAAGTAAATGAATCTTACTAATAATCAAATAAATGGAACTTCTTGAACTTTATTGCACAATATCAATACTATGATCCAGCTATTAAGAGCAGAAATAAGTTCAAATTAATACCTTATAAGAATTGCCGCAAATTTGCACCATATTGTAATTTGAAATATTGACGCTACAGTTCAGTAAGATACTGATTACTCTCAAGTTGTAAATTTTGTTACATTGTTTATTTAATTTGCTAAAAATATTGTTTGCATATTTTTTATGTCAAATACAAATATAGTCTTCTAATCAAATACAGCAAATTATTCTACATTTATCAATGAATTATTTATTTACAGTTTATGCCTAGTTAGCAAAGCGAAGGCGTTTGTACAATGCAAAGTTTCTTACGTATTAAAACATCTCGATTATTTTATGGTGTTGCTGAATTTCATATTAAATTATTTTTCATAAATAAATAAACTGTCTGCAAACGACGAGATCTGTAGTATACCATACCATCTTGATTATATACAAAAAGTTCAAATGTAAATGTATCTAAACTGCTAGATTTCTTCCCAAATTTTCTTTCTCAACAGTATACAAATAAATGTAATAAATATTACGTGATATTTCAGCATTTATATTGTTTTTTTTAAATAACAAAAAAAAGTCATCAGTTTGTTTAGCATCTGATTTATACGAAAATGTTAAATTTGTTTTAGACTTTTCTTAAAATTTTTATTGCATTTGTTACACTTACCTGTTTTCAAGATATTATTAAAGTCATTGTAATAATGTATTATTCTAATGTTTAAGTAAAAATAAACTCTAGATTTACAATTTCTAGAAAATACTGTGTATCTAGAGAATTCCAGAATTATTAAGGTCATGAAACTAGAATTCTCTAAGAAAAAAATGTGAATTATTTTTCAAGAATTTTAGCGTGTGTCGGTTTCGTGTAGAGCAAAACTAACGATCACCTTAGGCCACAGGTTGACTAAATGAAACAAGTGGCGACAAAAAAAATTTTAGCTAATCACCACTTTTTTTTGTAAAAAATATACCCGTGAGCATATTTATACATTTAGTTAATATGGAAGTATTATAATTTTTTTTATAATATTTGAAAAATTACTTTATTTTATGCTTTCTTAAAATTCTTTAGTTTTCGAAATGAACCTTGTAATAGTTACCATTCATTGAGAATGGTTGAGTTGAGTCGAATGTAGGGTTTAATTGCAAAGGGTCCAAAAAAGGACATGCTGGGCCATTCAGAATAGCTTCCAAAAAAGTCCTTGCATTACCAATGCCAACATTTTTTGTAATCATTTAAAATTTTCAATTTTTTAAAAACTGGTCGAGTGTCTTAAAAACTGGCCACTGCTAAAAATGCAACTACTGGACACTGGCTAACAGTAAAATTTCCTAATTTTGCCCTATATTGCTGCGTGTGTAGTACTTTCACTTAAAGAATCTTCAACTAATTATTTCATTTAAAAATGACACGTTACTGTCGGTCATATCCAAATGAAGATAGGGTATGCATTATGGTTAATATGAATAAATTTAAACAATATAAATAAAGATAAACAATGGGAATAAAGCACAAATAATGGCACAATAGTAGACTGTACTATAGTTCACGTCACCGTACGTTTTGAAGTACATGTAGCACATGCACAGACATACACTACAAAACATACATACGATGACGTGAAGGGACCTGGAACTGCTAATATGTTCGCTGGAGATATTAAGAAGATTTTTTTAAAAAATCTCTATGAACCTATGATTTACTTCAAAAGAATAATATTTGTTTTGGAATGTATTAAAACAGAAAGTAATTTGAAACTTCTATGGGCATCAGCTGTCTGCGTACTATAAACAAGCAATGTCATTCGTTCCGAGATAGAGAACAGATTATTTGGAGTACATTGCTTTTGTCTTCAAATAAATATAACTGAAGCGTTCTCTGTTTAACATTAAGAATGACAATTATTCATGCACTGTTAGAAATTTTAGAGCTTATTGAACCAAAATATCACTCAAAATTGCTGCAACCTTGAAATAATGGGAAGTTGAACCATATTATCGCAATTCTTATGTTTGATATTATGGTTCAATTTGACAGGAAAAGCGTCTCAATGTGACATACAATAAAGGTTGCAGCTAATTTGGACCGTATTGCATTTTAAACCGCCAATATCATGGTTCCACACTGAACCAAATTTTCAAGGAATGAAGTGTGAAACAGCTTTTACTGATGACCAACTAGCAGTATCCTTCAATTATTTTTAATCTATGAATCTCATGCTACACTGTTAGAGTTTCTATTCTAAAATAATAGTAAAATAACAGGCAGCATTTTGTCCCTCCAATTTACCATAAATGAATGAACATTTTTTACCTTTGCGGTTTTGAAACTATTTACGACTAATATGGTTAAAAACCATGAATGCAAAACTAAACTGTTTTTTAACTGTTTTACAACTAGCAAGGTTTCAAAATCGTAAAAAATAAACTTAATTGGACACTGGGGATAAGCTTTTCGTTAGGTAATGGGCATTGAAGTCAGGTTGTGGTTTATGAAAGGGAAATATTGAGATATCAACTCTGGGACTCGAATTCCCGTTCTGTTCGGTCATAAGATTAGCCCTCTGGGTTATATATATGTACTCAAGATGCAAGGAACTAAGTGACTTCGTTAGGTGGGCCTAGTTGGTGCGATAAAATTCTTATTGTTTAACCGTATTAGGTAAAAGCAGTTAATAAAGGGTTTTTCTTACAGTTAACAGTCTGAATACCATCTTATTTATCGTTATTTTACTGGGTTTTTTCTAATATAGTGAAAAAACAATTAAACAAATTGTGATTTTATCAATTTACCTGAAGAATTTCTAGCAGTGTATGTTGTATCGAATTCAAGCTACACATACATCAAAAAATCACATTGCAGAAAACTTTAATTATGTAGTTTTAAATATTTTAGCTGAGTCTTTGGTCTAAAACGTTCTCAGTCATTACAAATAAAATTAGGAACTGAAATAATACAATGATGGAACATAAATCAATGCTACCTCCACGAAACGTATACTGTTGAGGAATTTATTCTTGGGAAGTATGCATATTTGGTACAGATGCTTATTAGGTATCTAAGCGTGCATTTGGAGTTAATGCACGTTATGTCCACTGGTTGTCCAATAACTTATTATCATGGCATCATAGTACAAAGTATTTTACCGTCTTTGGATTTCTTTAGAAGCCTTAGGTCGTGAATGTTCTCTATTATGTGTTTAGATGATCCAGTCACCTTTGCGTGTTCGACGTCTTTTTTCAGTTCCTCCATGTCACGTTTCAACTTCGCTCGTCGATTCTGGAACCATGTAATGACCTGAGCGTTGGTCAGACCAAGAGATTGCGCGATCTCGTCCCTATCTGCTGGTGATAGGTATTTTTGGTATAGGAACCGCTTCTCCAGTTCGAAGATCTGGTGGTTGGTGAAGGCGGTGCGAGATTTTCGTTTCTTCTTTGGTTGCTGACGATTGTTGAACATACTCAGGTGGTCTCTGGAGGAGTCTGTAAAAGAAAGAAAAAGTATTTAGAATAAGATTGAAAAATTAACCCAGTTTGCTTAAAATACGATTGCTATAATTTAGTTAATTTAGTGAATTAACTAAATTATTAAACTAATTCGATAGTTTAGTGAATTAACTAAATTATTAAACTAATTCGATAATTTAGTGAATTAACTCAATTATTAAAATAGTTTGATAAATTAGAGAGTTAACAAAATAATTAAATTATTTCGATTAATTCAGTGAATTAACTTTATCCACTAAATAATCGAATTAGTTTAATATTAATTCACTAAATTATCGAATTAATTTAATTTAGTTAATTCACTAATTTATAGAACTATTTTAATAATTTAGGTAATTCACTAAATTATCGAATTAGTTTAATATTTAAAACTTAATTATTAAATTAATTTGATAATTTAGTGAAATAATTATTGAATTAGTTAATTTAGTCAATTGACGAAACTGATAGATTAATTAGTCTATTTAGTGATTTACAAAGTAAAATTTTTAATGTAAAATTTGTTTAAAAATGTGAACATTTTAAACTCAAAATTTATAAAGTAATGTGAAAATTCTAAAGGGAAAATAGTATTTATTAACGCAATTTCTGGAAAATATTATTAAATTACTCAACTTAATAATATCTTGGAAAAAAGTTAATAACGACAGTTTTTAGTTTTTAAGATAAGTTTTTTAATGATAGATTTTTTATTTTTTTATCCAAAAGGACTCACGTTATTTTATTTTATTTTATTTTAGTTTATTTAATTTTATTTTTGCTAATATCAAATAAAGATAAATTCATTTAACGTTTAGACAGCAGACAGATAACCGCTATGACACGCTTGTTATTTATTCACTAAGAAAACAAATGTGGTCAAAACTACCAGAATATGGTAAAATGGCTCTGTTTTGGCTCATGAGTGAGTTAGTGAGTTGGCTCGTGAATGAATCAATGAGTTCCAATTTTTTGAAGAGAATTTTAATTTTCCAATTAGAGGAGTTTATTTATTAGTTAATGGAAGTCTTTATAGTACTCACTCATCCTCCAAAAAATTATTTTGACGCATTTTTTTCTGTAGTTAGGTTTCCTGTTGCTGTAAGTTTTGTTGCTGTTTTTGTAAAATGTTAACAGATTTGAAATGTGACCCATTTTTATCCTTACAAACAACTAATGCATATGAAAGCATTTACGAACAAAATATTTGAATTATTCTTATTCTTAGTGTCTTCTTAGAAAAACACAGCTGCTTACAAATGTCATTAGGAGATTATAGCAAAGATACAAAGAAAAAAATCAAAATTAAATTTTGCTCTGAATACCTCGTAAAAAGTTTCAAGTATTTAAGAAGTAGCGCATTCAAGAAAAATATTTTTTCCCTATCAAAACTTTTTGGTTTACTTTGGAGTTCAAAACATAGTTTTTTAGAGAAAAAGATAAGCAGCTTCTGTTGAACAGCTGATCAGTAAAAGAACAAAAAAGAGGGCTGAAAATATCTGTTACCCTCATTTACACCCAAATGAGAATACAAAGAAACGTTTGTAACAGCACTTTGAGTTATTTTTAAATGAAACTTTGAAATGACAGTTTTTCCGAGTGTTTACTCTTACTTTAAATTGGATAAACGTTCAAATTCGAAGTCTCACGAGCTCTTTTTTAATTTATTTTTGAAGAATGAGCCACTGAAGACATCTGATTATCATCAGAAATAATTTCGTAACTAATCCAGTTTAGATGTAGTAATATTAATATAATTTAGTTAAAACGTGTGGTATCGAATGTCCTGTGGGCAATCTTTAAAATTCAGATAGATCATCGTTGCATAAAATAACCATTGTTGCATCTATCTTGCGATTTGCACTTTATATTGATGGACTTCAATTTACGTTTAACCAGATACATTTTACGAACCATTCGATTAGTATATTTAATTCAGTTTTTAATACCCAGTAAACTGATATAGATAAGTGATTTACTGTTATCAAATTCAAGTTAAGAGTAAGTGAAATATAGCTATGTAACTTTGGTTTGTCAATTAAACTCAAATATTTTAATGTTGTTATTAAAAAAAATTTAAAATTAGTATCGTAAATTCAAATTTTAAAGAACTAATGATTTGCGTTAATGAGCATGATATTAGTGTCGTTGGCCTTACCAATCAAACTTTCTACTCTGAAAAGAAAAAGATCATAGCTAGCGGAATATGGTAAAATTTACTGTGTTTCCGGTAACATGGTTTTTGGTAACATGGTTTTTGGACGGTAATTTTTACTGGACAGCTTTGGTAATGATTATATTTTTGGTATTATTTGGTTATGATTTTGGTAATGAATGTGATAAAATATAGTAGTTTTATCATGTTTGCTTAGCTTAGAGCATGGCATAAAAATCATTCAATTAAATGTATTTTATAATTTACTAAATTATTTGTACTTTTACCGAAATGTGTGGTGAATGTGTTTTGAAAAATATGTGTATGAAAAATAGAATTTTCGTTAAATCATTACCATATGAACTGAAAAATTATCAAATAAATTGCATAAATACCTTGCATTTTGGTTTTATTACGATATTACGATAATAGCGTGCGTGTTTTTTTATTATCAAAAATGTCATGACCATAGTGTACGGTAATTTTACCAGATTATTCTTCTCCCCGTACTTTACTATCCCACGTTTCTATTTTCAAAATTTTTATTGCTAAACTTCAATAAAAAAATATTAAGTTAGATTCTGGAAGTTTCTTAGCAGATTGAACTGCATTTAAATTTTACAATTTTGAAAAAAAAATTGAGTGACGCTATTATGCGTGCGAAGATATTACTTTCATTGACATTCAATCAAACTTTTTAAATACACATACGTTTCAAAACACTCATTAAGTACCAACAAAAACTATAGTTTAACTTCCTTAATAGACAGCCTTTTTATCAGTTTTTACTATGAAAATTATGACTCTAATCACGTATCGACTTGTTTTCTCATTTTATGATCCAACTTTCGGAACTTTCAACTTGAAATATTTTTTTAAAAAAACATTTAGTTAGTGTTGTGAAGTAGTTAGTGTTGCCTACAATTTAACATAAGTAAAAGTCTGCAAATGTGCTAAGACTAATGATTCATTCAAATGCTCTTGCCATGTCTAAAGGCATTACTTTTGTTTTTCCATCGAACTTTCCACATGCATATGCGATTCAAAAGTCTCTTTTAGTACCTACAAAAACTGCCTTTCCTCCTTCTTAATAGACAGCATTTTTATCAATTTTACCATGAAATTATGACTCCGATTGTTTGTCGTCTTGTTGTATCAGTTTATAATCCGAAATTTGAATCATACATCTATAAATTTTAAAGAAAGTCTTAGTTACTTTCTTGAAGCTCTCTTGCAAATGTTGCTTAAGTAAAATTCGACAAATGTGCTAATACACATACCAGTCAAAGCACTCATTTCGTATCGACAAAAACTACAGTTAATCTTTCTCAACTGACAGCCTTTTTATCAATCCCTACGATGAAAATGATCACTCCGATTATTTGTCGTCATATTTTATCATTTTATAACCCTTCTTTCAAAACTTGTAACTTTAAATTTTTTAAAAAAAGTCGTAGTAGTTCTTAGTAGAAAAAGTCTTTATGATGTTTTCTTGCAAATTTCGCCTAAGTAAATGTGCTAAGATTAATGATTCATGTGAATGATTTCGCAGTATCCGAAGGAATTACTTTAGTCAACCTTTCATCTAACATGCAATTCAAAGCACTTATTCCAAATGCACATGCAATTCAAAGCACTTATTAAGTACCAATAAAAAACTTGTTTAACTTTCTCAATAGACGGCCTTTTTAACTAAGGAATGACGACTAAGGAAATGATGACTCCGATTATTTGTCGTCATATTTTATCATTTTATAACCCAACTTTCGAAATTTGTAACTTTAAATTTTAAAAAAAAAGTTTTAGTTGGTTTTGTGAAGTTCTCTGGCAAATTTTGCCTAAGTAACTGTACTAAGACTAATGATTCATGTGAATGCTGTATCCGAAGGCATTACTTAAGTTGACCTTCCATCGAACTTTCCAAATGCACATGCAATTCAAAACACTTATTAAGTACCAACAAAAAAACTTGTTTAACTTTCTCAATAGACAGCCTTTTTATCAATCTCTACTAGGGAAATGATGACTCCGATTATTTGTCGTTCTGTTTCATCATTCTCAAATCCATCATCGGCAGATTCTGCCAGCTGCAAAAGCTGGTAATAACAGGGGCTGGCTCAACAGGACTTTTGTTGTCCATATTAAACAGAACGACAAGACTTAAGAGCGGATGACGATTCTTTTTCCAAATCTCTCTTATTGTGTTGATCTTCAAACCGTTTGTTCATAATTAGAGGTGTATAAGTCGTGCGCTTCAAGCTTTAATGGCTCAAAAGTCACCCGCAGCACTTTTAGGTGTCAAAATAATGGTGGTTGTTGCAGCCCCATCACTTTGCTGACTATAATCAGCGGTTTTGATTGAAGTTTGATCTTTTTTTTTTTCTTTCTCTCTTCCTTTTTAGATTATAATTCCTACGTTTATTATGAGAGACTTTCTATGGAACTTTCTTTTGGTGGGGCTTTATATTTTTGCTATACTAGACGTTAATTTTGTGGTTTCTAATGATATAAAAGGTGGAGTGTCTTTAGATAAAACCAGGAACTTCCTGGAGAGGTGGAGAATTCTAAAGTAGGAGTTAATCTGTGAAATTGTTTCTTATGTGGCTTTCAGATGAGCAGAATAGGCTATCCCTCTATTGTATTTGTCTGTAAATAATCATAAGCAATAGGTTGTGTATCATATCACCTTTAAATTTGTGCCCATTTTGAACAATGAGTAAAATAGTTCATATTAATGAAAAATAACTTTTTTGAAGTAAGTTTTATAGGTTGAGGAATATTTCATATTTTATTTTTTAATATATCTGCGTTTCGAAAATAATTCGAAATTCCGATAAATCCA